GAGTGTGTATAGGGATTGGACAGGTAAGGGGGGGGGTACCCCTCCGTCCCATACCTTGCCTGGTATAGAGGCTGGGGGCAGACAACCCCCTAAAAAACTCGTTGCCCTTCCCCAGGTATGGAATACCATATCTGCCGTCGCCCGTCGTGCGTTGTCTGTCGTGCGTCGCCCGTCGTGCGTTGTCCGTCGTGCGTCGCCCGTCGTGCGTCGTCCATCGTGCGTCGCCCGTGGGTTTTTTGTGTCACGATTGCGCAGTGGTATTTTTAACTTTGACCCTTGATCGTTTCACATGTACATGTCCTTGTTCGATCGATCCACCATGCCTGACTCTCATTTTAGCAATAGAACTAGAAGATGTACATTTATTCATTTTTGCAGTTGCGCCGTACTCCACTTGAAAGAGGAAATAATATCCTGACATTGGTTTAGTAACGTGTATATGAAATAATACCATTTGTTAGGGTAGATGGTTTTTCTTGATAACTTAGTTACTCTAAATGTAACTTTACTCATTAACGGCCTGACTTTAGGTCTATAGCCTAGGTAATATTTCTGTCTGTCCCTGCTCGATATCCCACAGAACGGCATGTGAATAATAAATTATTTACAATGTTTAATTCCTTAATAGTTTTCATACGAGACGAACTGATTCAACATTATTTTAAGGGCGGGTATACCTATGATGAAATCTGCTGTATACTCCAAATAAGTTGCAGGTAGGCTCACAGAAGTCTTTTAAACAGTAACGTTACTTGTTAGCCCATAAATAATGCTGATATGCTGGACATTCTGTTCTCATTGTTTATCCACCATGGCACACACACCCACAAAAACCAACACGTCACATTTTCTGAAACTTAAACCAAGTGGTAATTGCCCCCTAACAATACATTTAGTAAACGATTTGTTATCCACAGCACTGTCTAGTATTTCTGTATTTCAAGGTGAAATTGAGAGGACAAAATGGAATATCTGTATCGGTTGGCAGATTTCTTTCTAGAATTTGATGAAAACAAGTCGGCACGTTTTTAAATCATGTAAATTAGAATTAGACTGTGGATAAGTTGGCCTGAACATTTTTGCTGAAAATGTTTTTCCCCCAAAAACACATGGCTGAATTCTCAGAAAGGCGACATTTTCTTGTCAATGGGCAGGGGTAGTCTAGCATTATTGGCATTAATTATGGGACTAGTACTGCAGGTGGGATTTGTACTTGCCTTATTGGGAAAAGATCCTTAGAAGTGAATGGAATCATCACATTGCCATTTGTTAAACCCCGGCTTTTGCAGGTCCTATGCAACCCATTTGATGGGCGACGCACGACGGGCGTCGTGCGACGGCAGATATAGAATTCCATACCTAGGCGCACCTATCCTCACAAAACGGAAAACAGAGAATAAATCACTGCGACTTGCGCTCCTTGTAACATCTAGTTCTCTTACCATGCCGCTTGCTATATATCCAGTCTCAAGCAAATGAGATGGGGGGACGATGTTGATGCCAGTTCAACTCATGGGGGCAACCGCAACCAACCCACCTACGTTGCTTGCGTAGCACCACGCTTGCTTCCGGGCTTTCATTTAATCCAAGTTTGGGAGGACCACCTTGGGGCACGATACACCCCCCCCCTTCCAACAAATTACAACTAACTGGGAGTGTAAACTTTTTAGAATGGAACTTGATGCAGTAGGAAGTCAACTCACGGAAGTAATCGATGGTGAACTTGCCCTCCCACTTCTCACACATGGCCGTCTTGCCGAAGCTGGTTCCACAGTCCTGCAGCACAACTTGGGTCGGGTCGAAGGTTTCGCTTGCACATGCTTCATTCGTCGGCCACTCTCCGATAAAGCTGTTGCTGGTCACCAAGTTTACACACTGGTAGCATTTCAAGGATGAGACTAGGAGAATGAAAATGACTTGGTCAACGAGGCCGAACCTTCCAAGATGTATGTCATTGCTTTGGGGGTGTGGCACCTCGAAAAATAGATTTCAAATTAAATTGATAAGTTTCTAGGATTGCACTTATTATAAGCTTTCCAATGGTCAACGATGAGTAAAAAAATTCAATTTTTAAATGTCCCTCTCCTCATTCAAATTGGAAAGCAGGCTGGAGCTGATGTGCGCATGCGTTTTGCGACTTAATCAATTTGAGGCAAAATAAATTGCAGCTTCAAATAATTTATCACCGCGGGACATTGGAGGCTCTTGTCACTAACTGGGTCAGTAGTGTTCACTTGAGGTTGCTGGCACGGTGATTTAATGCCTTGAACTAGTTACTGGCGTGACCTTAAAAATGTTAGTAGCACTGGAGAGAGTTACTCCTGGTCACTTTTGCTTGAGCAGCCGTGGC